CCCGGCGGGAGGGAGGTCTTGCGGGCGTGCGAATGTTCATGACTTCGGTTGGTTAAGGGTCGCGGCGCTGTGTCGGGGTCATGTTGGAGTGACCCCGACATTATCCCGTCTTGATGATACTAAGGGGGGGGGGGGGTTAGAGGGGGGCCAAGGGGGTGTAGGAAGGGGTGGGGGTATTTAGGTGGGGAGGGGTGGGTTACGATGTTGAGAGTAAAAGGTTTTGAGGGTAAAGAGAAAGATGAAAGCGGTTCGGTTGCGAGTTGCAGAAAGGAAGATAAAGTTTCTTTTTGTACATATTTATTTTTTGAGTTTGGGGAGAGCGAGAGATATTTGGTTACGTTGGTTTTCTAGGGAAAGTGATTAGGAAGAAAAAAAATCGTAACCGAAGAAAAGGGAGAGGGAAATTGCATAGCTAGTACTCAATGTAAATAACATAGACAGAAAATATCAGCATTCGCATGTCTGTTAGTCTCAGTCATTTTAAAACTAATGAAGAATACCAACCACCTGCTGCCACGAATGGCAACGTATGGCAAGAAGGTCAGATGACAGCAGGGCAAGGTCGAGGAATGCCACGGAAGACAAAGAAGCACCTTCAAGGGCAAGGTCAGTGAAGGAAATGGAGAGAGAAATAGGGAGGAGGGAGGGAAGGGAAGAGAGAGAAAGCGTTGGAGGGACCCGTAAACTACCCTTAAAAAAGTACCAGTTGACATTGACCTTTTGTACACTCTCTCACTGTCAGAGCCAAGGTGCGAGCGGCCACGGAGTATGCTAATCGCGAAAGTGAGTGGGAAGGGAAGGGAAGGGGAGGGGAGGGGAGGGGAGAGGGGGGAATACGGACGATAATGACTCCCGGCGGACCTGTAAGAGGCGCAGGGAAGGCAGGAAATGAGGGTTTTGAGCAGATAAAAAATGGAAGGAATTTTTAACAGTTGGATTAAATTTATCGATGAAGACAGTGCCGCGAAGAGAATGGATACAGCATAATTCATAACAAGAGACAGCGGGAGAGGCCGCGCTACGTTAATAACGGGAAAGATGCGGTGCTGATAGCGTTACAAAGCGCTACTAGGCAGGGATGGGGATGCTAGTAGGGAAGGGTTAGGGTGCTAGTAACGACAGAAACATGCTGGGGTGAATTTATAACCTTGGTGATAGGGTTATGCCATGTTGTATTTTTATAGGGTTATGGCGGCGTGTTTCGGGATATTAAATGGTCTGGTTTATTGGAGTTTTATTGTATTTATGTTCCGTGTTTTGGTGGTGTCTGTTATTGCATGGGCGGGATGGTCGTGGGCGTGCGTGGGGTCATGCAGAAAGCGCACTGGGGTCTTTGTGCTCGGAAGCGAAACATGCGCCACGTGTGAAACATGTATATATATTATGGCGGGCGCGGAGGCGGATCTAATGTGTAGCGTCTTCGAAACCATGAAAATAATGTTGCCGGATCCGGTCTGCGAGTCAGATGCGAGATCCCACGAACGCCGTCACATCCGGCGGTCTTGGCTCGCGTAATTACGATTGACCAACTGGCCTGCCGTCCGCGCTCGGCTGCCTGGCCTTCCGATCATAAACTGCGCCGAGGAAGAGCGAGGAGGCAGCGGCAGAAGCGGCGTCTCAGGAGGATCTCACGCCGTCGTGGTTTGATGTCCTGTGCTCCGCTGCGCATGCTCAGACCGCCGCACCGGGGTGGGGGGGTAGCTCAGCGGGCGAATGGGGTAGGGGGCGGGGACGGTTAAAAAAATGAATAAGTAAATAAATAAAAACTTGGGTGGGACGCTGCTGCGGCTACCTTAAATATTTACATGTCGCACCATGTGAGGTCTTTATGGGAGCCATTAACGCCCGTGCAGCCTGTTTCTCCTTCCTGTTGGCAACAGTGGTCCTGCAGAGTCGTTGCATCACAAAAAAAAACTTGTACGTCGCACTGTAAATTTGATCAAGTGTTTTATTGTGTGCGAAGGGTATTGCAGGATGCTCAAGGCTGCTCTACTTCGCCCAAGAAAACTTCGTTATTCAGCTGTGTACTTTGCTCATAGATGTTCTACTTTCCTCACATTATAGTGTTTGAGGCTGGCGTGTCGCGGGGGATGGGACGAAGCTCGCCATATGCAGCGTGCCTTGAGAACTATCATTCAAATTCCTGTTTATATAGTTTATGATTTTGGATCTTATTTTCTTTTTTTTCTTCTTTTTGTCTTCTTTTTTTACAAGCAGTGCGGGTAAATGTGTGTGCGTGATTGTGGAGGATAACGCCGAGAAAATAAGAAATAGGGAAAAGATTACTCCCGTGACGTCAGAAGGTGCACGCACAGCAGCATAAGCCTATCGGATTACGACGATTTTTTTACTGTTATTGTTTTACTTCATCTTGGATTTAGTTTTTTTTTATTATTATTTTTACTGGTGTTTGAGTTTTCAGGGAAATGATTTCATGGCTAGATAGTGTTTTTTTCATTATTATTTTCTGTATGTTGTGTGTTTGTCGAGAGCGTCTTTT